GAAAAAAAAAAAAAAAAAAAAAAAGCTCCGGGTAGCAGCTGTATGTGTTTTGCTTGAGAAAAATGGAGGAATTATGATTACTTAATAAATGCCATCTTCCTAAGAGTGTAGAATCTTTCCAAGATATGTGTGATAATAAACGTCAGCTTGTATTACTGCTGCATTACTCACCTCCGTTACAAGCGTCGCCACAGACTTATTCTACGGGCAGAGCAGACACGCACGGGCTGCCTTTGTGGGGCCCCACTGGGAGCCAGGCACGGGGGTCCCGGGTGGTTGGGACACGGCCTCTGTGCTCAAGGGAGGACACAAGAAACTGACTGCTGACAAAGAAAAGTGCTGAGGACAGAGACGGAGCACCAGGGCCCTGAGCCCTGCGAGAGCTCCCAGGACAGGCGGCATCTGCCCCGAGCTCTGAGAGGAGCGGGCGTGCAGGACAGAGACGCGCAGCGGCCGTGTCTGGGGGATGGAGGGGCGCACGGGCGGGCGGCCAGAGGCTCGGGGCTCCGCCTGGCCCACTGGTCAGCGACATTGATGAACCCGTAGCCTGGTTGGGCTAAAGATAACCTTCAGAGCATTCTGAATTCTTTTTTTTTTTTTAAATTTTTGGCCGCGTTGGGCCTTTTTTGCTGCACGCGGGCTTTCTTCTCTAGTTGTGGGAGCAGGGGCTAGTCTTCGTTGCGGTGCACAGGCTTCTCACTGCGGTGGCTTCTCTTGTTGTGGCACACGGGCTCTAGAGCTCAGGCTCAGTAGTTGTGGCTTGCGGGCTCTAGAGTGCAGCCTCAGTAGTTGTGGTGCACGGGCTTAGTTGTTCCGCGGCATGTGGGATCTTCCTGGACCAGGGCTCGAACCCGTGTGCCTGCATTGGCAGGCGGATTCTTAACCACTGCGCCACCAGGGAAGCCCCTACATTCTAAATTCTTAACGCTTCCTCCTCTCCTGTGAAAGAGAAGCGAAGTGCCGGGGTCTCTAGGACTCAGGCTGTGTCCGTGCCCAGCCTTGACCAGCAGGGCTGACCAGAAGCGGGCTCCTCCCAGGGCTGCGGAAGGGTCCCAGTGGACAAGGGGTGGCAGTGCCTCGTGAGGGACAGTGAGTCTGTGGGCAGCGCCGGACCCAGGGTCCAGGCCACGTCCACTGTGTCCCCCTGCAGCCTCCTCCTCCCTGACTTCCGTGGGGTGGACCACCTCCCCACCACGACCTGGGGTTTTCATTTGGTGAATCGTATTTGTTGTTTCACTGATTATAAAAATAATATATGTTCATTGGCTAATTTGGAAAACTGAGGTTTCCTAGATGACCTGGCCCAAAGGTCCCCCACCCAGCCGGCCTTCCTAAGCAGGCCGACGGCAGAGCCTTTCTCTTCCATTTCAGGAAGAGCCGAGCACCTCTCCATCTCCGGGGACCCGAGCAGCCAGCCAGCCCCCCAACTCCTCAGGTAAGGCGCACCGCCCTGCTGGCGCCAGCACGGGGTCTTAGCACAGGAGGGGCTCTTACAGGAAGGCGATCTGATCCCCCTGCCTCACTTTACGGTGAGCAGAGAGGCTGCACTCGTGGGGGGCTCCCCGCCATCTTCGCGGCCTCCACGCCGAGCCTGAGCAGGGGCACCCTGGAGGAAAGACCGACCGCCCAGTCCAAGCCTCGCGTCCCCCAGTCAGCCTGCCAGCACCTACCGAGTGGTATGAGAGACCGTGCCCTGGGGCTCAGGTTCCCAGCCTTGGGCCCGTGCTCCGAAGAGGGGCATGTAAATGTCACGTTCCTGCGCCCTGCAAAACGCCAGCTGTGACCCATGTTACAGTGATTAGCAGTGAGTCTCGCTCACTGGGAAGTCAACCAGACAAGGCGGTCCTGAACCCTGCGCAGAAATCCCCCAGTCTGAGCTCTGGAACGGGGGTTGCGATTAGAAGAGTGCCTTGAGGCTCTACGGTGGGAGGAAGCCACTGCAGTCAGTCACTCGTCCAACATTTCAGTGTCTGCTCTGAGCCAGGCCTGTGCTCCTGAGCACATGGTGCAGTGCACGGTTGGGAGAGGCGGAGGGGAAATAGGGCCCCCCGCCCCAGCCAGCGGAGGGAAGCTCTTGCCTGGTGCTGGCTGCTCGCTGGGGCACGCCGGGGCACGGCTCTGCCCCGCACGGGCCTAGTGTCCTGACCCTGTTGGCGCGTCTGCCTCCCTTGCGAGGCTGTGGTCTGTGCCCTCTCCTTCTCAGGCAGTGCCACCACAGTTCTTGGTGAGTGACTGCATGAACACCTCACATCCCAGTGGATGGGTTACGTGTTTCCCAGTCTAGGAGGTTGAGGCTCAGTGTGTTTACGTGGCTTCCTCCAGGCTGCATGCCTGAACCCTGGACATGGTCCCAGCTCTCGTACCTGCCCTGCAGGCCCAGCGTGGGCCCGTCGGCCTGCACAGTCTCCAGGCTCAGCTCACAGTGGTTGGCCCCCTGCTGCCCCAGGGGTTTTTCCTTCTGCCTCTCTGCTCATCCTGCAAAGTCAGTGAATTCTGTCCAGCTCAACAAATCTCTTGAAGTAAAGTGAAATGTAGTTTAACACCAGTTAAAAAAGAAAAAGGAAAGACAAATCAACTTTCAAGCCCAGGCCGGGAAAGAACCAGCTGCAGTGTCGGGGGGGAAACCAAGGAGTCAGGGGACAGGGGATGCACGTGGGTCGTGGGCCTGGCCCCTGAAAGCGAACGTGGAGCCCGGGCTGCCCTGAGAGTGTCCTGGTGGGGGGCCTCCTGTGCCCTGCTCGGCCCACTGCTGGAGTCCCAGGTCGCCTCCAGTAGTCGTAGTTTAAGAGGTTCCCTGACCAGCTGGCTCACGTTCCAAGGACAGACCCAGTCATGGTGAGAGGACTCAAAGCCAGGCCACAAGTCAAGGTCAACCGAGTCGAGGGAACAGAGGCTCATGTCCTGAGGGGGGAGATGCCGGGTGACAGCAGGGCCATCTACACCCTGCCAGGGCCGCCTGGGCCAAAGGGGACTGGAATAAGGAGCCGGGTCTCAGCTGTGACGGGGGAGCATGGGTGGGGCCTCCTGCCCGGGACGCTGCGGGATGGGGGCCACTGAGCGCCCTCCCAGCTCTGAGGCGCTTCATCCATGACGTGAACCGACAGAGGCTGGCCGGAAGCCCTGGGAGCGGAGCAGCTCAGCAGAGAAGCCCGTGTCCTCCTTGCTGTCCAGGTGAGCTGCCCCGGGAAGGCTGGCCCTGCGCCCGGGTCGGTAGGCCCAGGCGGGCGCCGGCGCCAACTCACCTCTCTGTTCCATTCCATTCCACCGCGCAGAACCCCGTCTGTGGCCAAGAGCCCCGAAGCTAAGAGCCCCCTTCAGTCGCAGCCTCACTCTAGGTACCGAACAGCCCCGCTTCTGGGGCCTCCTTTGTCCCCTGCCCATGACTAACACCCCGGATCCCACCCGTGTCCTGTCATCTAACAGTTGGCTCTGGGAAAGGGTGGTCTGTGCTTTGTCAGGGGCAGGGCGGGCCTGCTGCTTCCTGTCTTCTCCTAGACAGAGGGCCCGAGGCCAGGGGAGGGGAGTGACTGTCCAGAGAGGCAGCGAGGTGGAGCCGGGATCGAATCCCAGCTCCGGCCTTGCTAATTGTGACACCGGGCAAGCCAGGGGACCTCTCCGAGCCTCCACTGCTCCCCCACGCCACGAGGAGGTCTCTTCATCCCTCGCGCACAGGGTGACCATGTGTGGACAACAGCTGGACACAGGAAATCTTCAGCAGCCCTGGCTGCATCCCGCAGCTCAAAATCCCGGGGGCTGGCCCAGCACCCCACCTCCTCTCCTTCCTCAACCTTTTCCCCAGAGATACACTGACCATATTTCCCAAACCAAAAGCTGATGTGATAACAGGATGGGTTGTTTGAAACTGAGGTCGCCCAAAAAATCAGAGAGACAGTCACACAGTAACTATGGGCCAAGTGTGGCCTGAATTTGCAGGCTTCTAGAATCCGTACTAAGAAGTGTCTTCAGTGCCCATCACAAATTGGAGGGGAACAGCCCAAATCCCAGAGCAGGTGGAGTTTGAGCCTGGTCTTGCCAAATCAAACAAGGTGACCAGAGAGAGCTCCAGCCGGCCCAGCAGGCGTGGCGATGACAGATGCGGGTGAACAGGGATGAGGGGTCTCGGCGGCAGCCAGGATTTGTGGAGGGCCTTTGTCAGCCAGGCTCTGAGCTGGGCCCTGCAGGTCCCTGCCTGCGAGGAGCTCATTTTCGTGTTGGAAAGGCCCATAAATAAGACAACTGTAAGTTCTGAGAGGTGCTCTGGGGAAGACATAGAGGGCCGCGTGGTGGACGGGGCCGGGGACGGGGGTGCTTTAGCGAGTGGGCCTCTCAGAGGTGGCACTTGAGTTGACCCTGATGAGAGGGAGCCTGCCCCGTGGAGATTGTGGGGACGGCCCTCCAGGCCGAAGGAGTGGTAAGTGCTAAGGCCCTGAGCCTGCCACCAGGCTGGCAAGTTCAAAGAACAGAAAGCAGGCCGTTGTGGTTGGCAGGTGATCGGACGTGGGGAGGGCAGAGGGAGGCACATTTAGAGGGGCAGGAAGGAGCCGCACGGTGAGAAGTGTGGATTTTATTCTGTGTCCGAGCTCTGAGCAAAGGGCGCCGCGATGGAGTCGCTCTCTGGGCAGCTCGCTCTAGCTGTGAAGCGAGAGGTGGACTGGAGCCGGGCGGGAGCCAGAGCAGCCGGGGAGGCGAGGCGGCCGGGGCTGACCTGCAGCTCCCAGCAGAGCTAGCTGCTTCCTGGTCGTGGCGTAAGGACGGGCGGCCAAGTTCTGAGTGGCCAGGCGTCCGTCACAGGGCAGGAGCGTTGTCTAGGGCATTCCACACTTAAGAGGGCTCTCCGGCTCCGAGCCAGAGTGCTTCTCCAGACACAGATGCGGCGGGTGCCGCAGGGCTCACAAAAGCTGTTGGGGTCACCATCGGGGGGACTTACCAGGTCTGCAGATGGGGGGACTGAGGCCCAGAGAGGTAAAGCGGTTTGTCCAGGTGACTGGAAAATTGCTCTTGGAACAGGGACTTGAAACTACAGGATGGGTGTGACGGATCCAGGGACCTCAGGCCGGACCTCTTTCCGCATCAGGACCCAAAGTTACAAACTCAGTCAGGACCACATTTATTGAGTCTCTTTATTGAGTTCATCCAGGAGGGGTGCAGGAGCACTTTTTCTTTTCTTTTTTAACCCAGCTTTCTGCACTGGACACTAAAATTTTATTTACATAGCATCCAGTGGTTTTTTTTAATCCAGTTGTATTGAGATATAATTGACATCTAGTGTTGTGTAAGTTCAAGATGTACCACACTGTGATTTGATATACGTGTGCATTGTAAAATGGTTACCACAGTCAGGTTAGTTAACTCGTCCATAACCTCACACAGTTACCTTTTTTTGTACGTGTGTGGTGAGAACTTTCAGATCTACTTTCTTCGCTCCTTTCAAGCATACGATACAGTATCGTTAACTGTAGTTACCGTGCTGTACGTTACACCCCCAAGAGGGAACCCATCTTATTAGCGGAAGTGTGTGCCCTTGGACCACCTCCACCAGTTGCCGCCACCCGTCGTCAGCCCCTGGCAGCCACGAGTCTACGCTCTGTTTCTGAGTTTGGCTTTTCTAGATTTTACATATAAGTGAGATCATGCAGCATTTGTTTTTCTCTGTCTGGCTTATTTCACTTAGCATAATGTCCATGTTGTCGTAAATGGCAGGGTTTCCTTCTTTCTTGTGGCAGAATACTCCATTACGTAACCGTGTGATGTACATATGTACACGTGTGTGTACATACACTCACGCACACAGATACAGACATGACATCTTCTGTGTCCATTCATCTGTCAGCGGACCCTTGGGTTGTTCCCATGTCATGGCAGTTGTGAATAACGCCGCAGTGAACATGGGGGTGCACCTGTCTCCTGGGATAGTGATTTCATTCCCTTCGGCCTTGTGCCCAGAGGTGGGATTGCTGGCTCGTGTGGTCATTACGTTCTTAATTCTTTGAGGCCCCTCCACACTGTTCTCCATCGCGGCTGCACCAGCACTTTAGTGTTCATGCTTGTTCTCCTTACTGTGGAGAACACCAGCCCTCAATTTCCCCAGATGGACCTAATCTGTACAGTGACCCCTGGTAGCCATGCCAGTCCGCCAGGTCAATGTCTGTCCGCCAGCTGTCACATTCACGATCCCTGCAGCTGGCTCTAGCCACATCACTTCCCTGGACCTGCCGTTCTCTCCACGTGGGGACAGAAAGTGGATCCAGAAAGTGTACCCTCAGCACCATGGTCCTGCTTTGAAAGGCCAGGTGGTTAGACGAGCGTTTGCCAAGATTTCCTCCCTTCCTCCCTTCCTCCCTCCTTCTGTCCTTCGGTCTTTCCCTCCCCTCCTCTCTTCCACTGGTGGGATCTTAGTTCCCCTACCAGGGAGTGAACCTGGGCCCCGGCTCTGAAAGCAGCAAGTTCTAACCACTGGACCGCCAGGGAATTCCCTGCCAAGATTTTCCAGGGAGGATTCATGTGCAAGAGACATTAAGTTTCAAACCAGCCAACCTTAGTTCGGAAGCATCAGAGGACAGTCCCCAAAACTGAAACCTTTGCCTGAGACGAGCAGAACCACATCCAAGGACGTTTCCTGAAGTAATTACACACCAGAGCCGGCTGCCAACACCAGGGACACATGTTTGTGTCGGAAGTGGGTGCCTTTAGGATGAGTGTTTAAGATTTTTGCAGTTTTGTCTCGTATTTAATGCCATCGTTACTGGTTTTCCCCAAGCTTCCGTCTAGCCAGGAATGTAGACCCTCACACTGAGGACCAGCTTATCGGGGTCCCTTTCCAGGGGAGGCAGCATGTGACGCTGTCCGCTTACGTGGCCGCTTCTGTGTGAGAGCTGTCAAGTCAGAAGACCCCAAGTCCTGACTCTTGGGTTGGGAAATATGGTCGCAGTATCCATGAGCCCCTCTCGAGGTGGAGACAGGGCATTGGAGTCCTTTTCAGGTAGCTAAGGAGCGGCCGGAGGTAAAAGCAGAAAGCGTTTGAAGGACGATGGGAGAGGGCAGGGCTGGGCCTGCAGCGGGGAGGCGCCGGGGCACCGCTCAGTCTCCCAGCACGGGGGTGCCTGCCAGGCCCCACCGCCCACCTGACCGCACCCTGCCGCCCTCTCCCCAGGATGAAGCCGGCGGGAAGTGTAAACGATGTGGCCCTGGATGCCTTAGATTTAGACCGGATGAAACAGGTGAGTGTGTCCTTCCCGAGAGGCTGTGAAGGAGCCAGAGGCTGGGGATTTGTTGGGGCCGCGTGGGCAGGCAGGCCCGCCCTCTTGCCCACGAGGGCCACACGTGCGGCTGCCAGCAGTAGGGAGCCGGCGGTCGGGGAGGGAACACGCGCAGCGTCGGTCCCCCTGCCCCTGTCCTCACCAGGAAAAGGCTCTGGGCGCTCCCGGCCCGCCTCTGGGGCTTCCCCTTCCGGGCACCCCGGCTCCTCCAGAGTATTTCTCAGGAGTGGGAGGGTGTCCCATGTCCCACTCACACACCCTTCCCCAGCTTGGGGAGGGAGCCGAGAACACGGGGCGGCGTGGGCAGGGGTGAGGGCTGTGGCGCTGCCCCTGCCCCTCGATCAGGGCCACTTCTCCTCTGCTGTCTGTCCCTTCACTCCGAGGCTCTGCTCCCACCAGGAGATCCTCGAGGAGGTGGTCCGCGAGCTCCACAAAGTGAAGGAGGAAATCATCGACGGTGAGTAGGGCCCCCCCCCCCCGGCATCGCCCTGAGCCGGGGCGCACCCAGCGGCCTTGAAGACGGGGGCCTGCCTGCGGCCAAGCAGGGGGCCAGCATGGTCCAGCCAGGGAGGCCGTCCCGGGCCAGGAGGCCTGGGCCTTGTACCAGCATGGGGGCGGGGGTCAGTCTTCCTCCCAGCGGCCAACACCACCCCCCTGAGTCTCTGAGCACACTGAGGCTGAGAAAGGTTAAGCGCCTTGTGTAAGGACGGGCGCGCCCTGCTGGTCTGCCGCCTCAGTCTGAGTCTTCCCAGGATTAACCTGTGTCGAGGAGAAAGATCCGTGAGTGCATCCCCAGGCCCAGAGCAGCCCTGAATTATCTGCTGCTTAGCTCAGCATCTGTGGACTTAGATTACTTCTCTTTATTCTGCCACTTCTGATCACTGGGTTTGGGGTTATAAGGGCAACCGCTGCCTTGCCAGAGGTTTAGGGGTCCAAGAAGCCGCAGAATTACCTATGGGCCTGACCTAGTTCACAGCCTGCTTGGCCCGGCCTGGGGGTGCAGGCATGTGGCTCCAGAGGCAGGGCCTCGTCACAGTGAATCACATCCGTCCTTCCGGTCCCCACCGGAGCCTTTGATACTGCTGGCTCAGATCTGGAGCCAGAGGAAAAGGAAAGGTTCGGGCAGGGCTGGCTCCGCCCGACAGAGCAGTGAGGCACAGCCTGGTGCCCACACCCCTCCCCATCCCACCTGCTGGGTGCTGGTGGCGGAGGGCCGCCAGACGTGGGAGAGAGGAGAGGCGGCTGGGAACCTGCGTGGGGTGCCCGCAGAGCCGGACCCCTGCCCAGGGCTGGGTGACGGCCACACCCTGTCCTTGACCCAGAGGAGAGCACTCAGTTCCTGTTTGCCCAGTCCCCCCACAGGCCTGGGATGGGTAGATAAGGAGTTAATGAATAGAGAGAGAGCAGAGCCAGAGAGGAGACAGAGGCCAACTATTAACCCTGTTCTAATGCTGGGCGCTCCCACCTCAGGAGGGCTGCTTGTGTGGCCCCAGGGCCAGGGCTGGTGCGGGGCCCGAAGCAGGTCTGCCAGCCAGCCAGCGAGCAAGCAGAGGGCACAGGCCTCGACAGAGGGAGCCAGTGGGTGTGGGGGGGCCCCGTCTCTGCACCTGCCACAGCGTGGCCGCGGTGGACGCAGCCTCTGGGGTGGGCGGCTGAGAGGCCGGGGGAGATGTGGGCCATGGGGGTCTCCTGGAACCCTCCCCTCGTTCCCCTGCTGCTGGAGACGGGCCCGGCCCTTAGCTCTCTCTCCTGGTCTTCGGCTGCAGGCCCCCTGGGGTCTGTCCGGGCAGAGGCTCACATCTGGGGGAGGACTCTGGGGAGAGGAGCGGGGAGAAGCCCCGGCCCCCTCCGGATGGGGCAAGCCCAGGCCCCGGAGGCAGGGCGTGGGAGCCCTCCGCCCTGCTCAAGGTCACCGACTTGATGCTGCCCCTGGGGGCGGGGTGGGGGGTTTTGCCGGTCCTCCGACCAGAGCTGGGCTGCCTGCCGGCCCCTTACCAGTTCGTCCTCTGACGGGGAAGGGGCATAGCCACCCTCGAGGGACTGCCAGCTCACAAGAAACGGCAGATGAGACCCACAGAGGGCTTTGCTGTCACCCCGGAGTCGGCCAGAGCCCGCTGCGCTGCTTGACCTCTGGCCTGTGGCTCGTGACTTCCGGAGGCCTGGGGGGCAGCGGGGCGGCTCTCGGGAGACAGAGCGGGGCAGACCCCAGGCAGGACCTGAGCAGGCCGGGGGGCGGCGCCTGAGCCTCCTGTCCCGCCCTGTCCCCTCAGCCATCAGGCAGGAGCTGAGTGGGATCAGCACGTCGTAGGTCGCTCAGCCCCTGACGCCGCCCGAGACCCGGTCCAGCCGAAGTCGGGGACAGCCAGGAGCCCAGCGCCCCAGGCCTCCAGCACACACGAGCGCGCACTGAAGCTAGGATGTGCTTCGTTTAAAAGTCTTAACCTGTGATAAAATATTAAAATGAGGAAAAAAGTTCAGCTCCTGGATTTTTTTAGATTCAACCTGATACAGCACACCAGGCCTATCGCCTTTTTTTGTATTTTATATTTGCCTATTTAAGTGTACATTCCTTTCGGTTTATAGAGAAGACACCCCGAGTCAGTCACGCGCCTCGCTAGATGGTTTCAAGTTTTCTCCTAGGTGCCACCGGGAGCAGCGGCTGCTTCCACGCGGCTCCTTCCCAGCGTCCTGGTGGTTGGGGTCCGTCCACGCACCAGGCGGTCTGTGTCCACGTGGTAATAAACGCTTACCGTCCACACCCCGGCTCCGACTCGCTCGCTGTTGGCGGCTCCCGGCC